CCTCCTCCTCCTCTTCCTCCTCCTCCTCGTGCTCCTGCTCCTCCTCCTCCTCTTCCTCCTCCTCCTCCTCCTCCTCTGGCAGGTAGGCAGCTGTGTCCACTGGCCCTCCTCGGAGTGAGGGAGGCGTCGGCCCCGAGAATCGCCCACTCTCCTCGCCCATCGAGGCCTGGCTGTCCCCGGGCGTGCCGAGGAGCGTGCGGTTCCCCCAGCGGGGCGTGACGCCGATTCCACGTCTCCTCCTCCTCCTCCTCCTCTTCTTCCTCCTCCTCCTCCTCCTCCTCCTCCTCCTCCATCCTTTTCCCTTATAGATAATTTCTCCCTGTCGCGCCCCGGGGCAAGTTTTTGGTGCGGGCCGGGCGTTTCGCCTGAGACTCCCTCACCCTTTATGGCTCTGAAGCTTTTAAAGTGGCAGCAATTTCACATATGGAGGGCGAGTGGTTTTCAACATGTGGGTCTCGCCTCAGCGCCGCGCACATTCGTTCATAACAGTTGGAAGAGTTTCACGGGTTCCCATGATCAACGTACCAGAACTGGTGTTTTGGAAAGATTCAGGGTTATGCGTGTACAGCAGTCTGTTGACTCGCGGTGTTGAAGTTCCACACACAGCGTTCTGGCACGGTTCCAGATCGTCAAGACGCAGCAATCAGGTTGATCCGTTGCGTCAAAATCTCGAAATCAATGTTTGGCATGCTTCAGTGTCTTCAAGGGTGTCTTCCAACGAGGCAGTTTCCTCAGTGGAAATGAACCGTTGTAGGGGCCTATGAAGAGGGTGCTTGGAGGGAGGGCTAATTCCAACATCGTTGATGACTCTTTGGTTTACACTCGTCCTCTTCCTCCTCATCCTCCTCCTCTCCCTCCTCCCCCTCCTCCTCCTCCTCATCCTCCTCCTCCTCCTCCTCCTCTTCCCCCTTCTCCTCCTTCTCCCCCTCCTCCTTGCCCTCCTCCTCCTCCTCCTCCTCCTCCTCCTCCTCCTCCTCCTCCCCCTCGTCCTCCTCTTCCTCCTCCCCCTCTTCCTTCCTCCTCCTCCTCCTCCTCCTCCTCCTCCTCCTCCTCCTCCTCCTCCTCCTCCCCCTCCTCCTCTCCTCCTCATCTTCCTTTTCGTCCTCCTTCTTCTCTTCCTCCTCCTCCTCCCCCTGCAGGTTCGCGTGGGCGAGCATGGCCGTGCACTGGGACCTGGGGCCCCTCGTGGGCCCGCCCGCGGGCCTGCAGCTGCTGGACCTCCCCGCCGACGTCCTCCAGGCGGTGGCCGACTGGCTGCCCACGTTCCACGGGCGGGTCGCTTGGAGGAGCAAAGGGTTCACCCCACACTGCTAATTACAGTCAACCAGGATAGCAAGGATGGGGCAACTTTCCAAGGCTACCCTCGTGTCCTTGCCCCTTCGGTATTCGGCATCATTCGGCATTCTGCTGCACTCCGCGCGGAAAACGTCAACATGGCGTTCCAAGGCCCGTGCATCCTTACCGCGCATCCTTACTATCTTGGTCGAGTGTAAACCCTTCCCTCGTTTTCCGCCCCTCTTTTTCGGCCTCTACTAGGGGTAACCCCCCACACTTCGAAGAAGAAAAATCCACGTAAACATAAACTTTTGGCGTTCCGCGCGGATTTCTTGGATCCGCACCTGAGCCCCCTGGCGGCGCCTCCGGCGCCGCCCCTGGCGCGCTCCGTGCGCCAGAGAGGGGGGTCCAGCACGAATCCAAGAAATCCGCGCGGAGTGCCAACAGTTTGTGTTTATGTGGTTTTTTCTTCTTCTGTTAACACTGCTAATTCCACCCTTCCCTCGTGTCCGCCCCTCTTTCGGCCTCCAGGGAGGCCCTCGTCGCCACGGCTGGATTCGCCTCGGGATCCTCAGAGCGCGCCCATGCAGGGGCGAGGTCCGGGCAGCAGCGGCACCGCTCGCTGCCTCTTGGCTTCCGGCAGGTCCGGCTGCGCCGGGCCGCCCGGGCGCTCGCGCAGCTGGACTGGCGTTGGGGCCCACCGCGGCAGCTGGAGGAGGAGCTGGCCCGCATGGGGCTGGGCGACCGCGGCGCCGAGGCGGTGGCGCTCGCCCTGCCCTCGCCGCTCAGCAGGGGCCTCGGCGAGCTGAGCCTCGCGGAGAACCGCATCGGGGATGCCGGCGCGGTCGCCATTGCCCGCGCCCTGAAGGCCGGCGCGGGCATCCGGCGCCTCTCCCTGCGAGACAACCTCATCGGGGACGCCGGAGCGAGGGCCCTGGCGGAGGCGCTGAGCCGCAACATCACGATGGAGGAGATCGACCTCTGGGGGAACAGGATGAGCGACGTCGGGAAGGCGGTGCTCTTGGGGTCGGCGCGGTGCGACGTGTTTTTGGAGGTAGACCCGCCGTGCCCGGGCGGGGCAAGCTTCGGCGGCGTGAACCCGAAGATGCGGGCCATCTTATTCGAGTGGATCGCCCAGGTGCACAGCGGCATGCAGATGCCGCCCGCGGCCGCTGAAGGTGCACCCGACCCTCAGGAGATGCTATTCCGCACGTACCGTCACGTGGACGCGTACATAACGCACTGCGCAGTGCAGCGCAACGAGCTTCAGCTCGTGGGCGTGGCGTGCACGCTCTTGGCGAGTGGCTATGGCGTGGACGAGACCACGGAGGACGACCTAGAACTGAAGTCGTGGCTCCACATGGTGACCGACGGCATGTGCTCCATTCAGGAGGTGAGGTCCATGGTGGGCCAATTGCAGGGCGCGCTGGGGTTCCGCCTGCACCAGCCCACGGTGTACACGTTTCTGCGCAGGTACCTGCGCAGGACGGGGTGGACCGAAGACAGCTTCAGCCTCGCGAACTACCTCGTCGAGCTGGCAGCGCTGGACGCGACCTTCCTCACGTTCAGGCCGCAGGCCATCGCTGCCGCAGCCGCGGTGCTGAGCAGGCAGTACGTTGCGCAGGGCGTCAGCGTGAAGCAGACGCTCAGCTGGAAGGCGAAGCTGCTCGCGTGCGCGCAGGTGGAGGTGAGGACGGAGCTCGCGGGGTGCATGGCGACCATGGCGATGCTGCACAGGTCCAGGCAGGGCGATCAGAGCAACTTTGTGAACCGGAAGTACGCCTGGGACACGCTGCACTCCGTCGCGAAGATCCCGCCCAACATGCCCCTGGACGCATCCTACTACGAAGAGTACATGGCTAGCTAGATTGAGGTCCTTTTTGGCAGCGGGCGGCTCCCCAAGCTCGAACGAGAAGGCTGTCGCCCTCGCTCTTTTTTTTGGCTCTTCCGGCAGAACGCTCATCGCACACGATGGCGAATGTTAAAATGCACTGCCACTCTATCTGACGTTTCGATTGTTGTTTTTTGAGCTGTGCGCGAACGCTATCGGCGCTCCTGAAAGGAGCCGTGCCGTTTTTGTATGTCCCACAGCACGTGCCCTCGCATCCTGCAGGTGCTTTTTTTCTAGGATCACCCTCCCGGTGTTCTGCAGCAGATCTTCCTCTTCTCTTTCGTCATCCCTCCAGCTTGTGCATCGTGATGGTATCGATCGCATTCCCGATGGGACTCGAGGAGTTCGACGCCCGCAGGCCGGTGTTCGACGACAAACAAACAGCATAAACTTAACTTTTTGGCGGTGCGCGCGGATTTCTTGGATCTGCGCTGGGCCCCCCTCCCCTGGCGCGCGGAGCGCGCCGCAAGGGCGGCGACGGAGTCGCCGCCAGGGTGCTCCAGCGCAGATCCAAGAAACCCGCACGGATCGTCAACAGTTTATGTTTACGCCGCTTGTTCTTCTTCGATGGCAGTCTCTTCCTCCCTCCTCCTGCCCCCTCCTCCTCCTCCTCCTCCTCCTCCTCCTCCTCCTCGTCCTCGTCGTCCTCCTCCTCCTCGTCCTCGTCGTCGTCCTCCTCCTCCTCCTCCGCCTCCGCCTCCGCCTCCGCCTCCGCCGCCTCCTCCGCCGCCTCCTCCTCCGCCTCCGCCTCCTCCTGGCGTGGGCTCTCAGGCGGGAGAAGCGAGAGGCGCCGCTGGCGCGGCTCGGCGCAGGGGCGCGTCTCGTGTACAGCCTTCTTCGGGCCCCGCGCCCCGTGCGCTCCCTGCCGGCTGGCCGAGCTTGCTCCTCCTCCTCTTCCTCTTCCTCCTCCTCCTCCTCCGCCTCCCCTCCTCCTCCTCCTCCTCCTCCTCCTCCTCCTCCTCCCCACTCCTCCTCCTCCTCCTCCTCCTACTCCTCCTCCTCCTCCTCCTCCTCTCCTCCTCGTCCTCCTCCTCCTCCTCCTCTCCTTCCCCTCCTTCCTCCTCCCCTTCCTCCCCCTCCTCCTCCTCCTCCTCCTCCTCCTCCTCCTCCTCCTCCTCCTCCTCCTCCTCCTTGGCAAGGCTTTGTCCTGTCCTGCTGCCCGTGGCAGGTTTTGTTGCAGAGCTGCATACGACTGGTTCTGCAAAAGTGACGCATGAGGTGTTGCTGCTGCTGGTGCTGCTGCTCCTCCTGTTTCTCCCCTCCCGTTCCTCCACCTCCTCACTCTCCCTGTCATCCTCTTCTCGTGTCACGGCTCGCGCACCAAGCTAATTCTCCGGCCATCCTCGTTTTCCATCCTCCCCTTCCTGCTGCCCCTCCTGCTCTTCTTCCCTGTTTCTGCTCTGTCTCGTCGCTCTCTCTCTCTCTCTCCTTCGCCCTCTTCCCTCTCCCCGCTCGTCATCCTCCTGCTGCTTCTCCGCGTCTTTTTGCTCTGCCTTCTCCTGTCCTATTGCCTCCGCGAAGCCAGGCTTCGTCCCTGCGTCTGGTGCCCAGCGGACCAGCTTGGCCCTTAGGCCGCCCTGGCGCTGGCCCGGGATCGCCCTCCGCGACGCGCGGGACCACAGCAGTCGTCATTTGTGGCGTCGTGGTCACAGTCGTCGGGAGAACAGGGGGATGAGGATAATGAGCAGAAGGTCGGGGACGGAAGCGTAGGGTGAGGGTGAGGAAGAGGAAGACGACATGAAATGCGATGGCGGGGCCGATGATGATGACGATGACGATGCTGGTGATGCTCATGATGATGACGACGATGATACTGACAATGCTGATGATACTGGTAATGATAATGATGATATTGATGATGCTGCTGCTGATGATCATGGTGCAATTGGGATGACAGTGATGATGACTATGGCAGTGATCATGACAATGATGATGGTGTTCGTGATGTGACGATCGTGATGATGATGCTGATGATGCTGATGCTGATGCTGATGCTGATGAGGCTGATGATGATGCCGATGCTGATGTTGAGCGATGACGACGACAACGATGACGACGATGATGATGATGATGATGATGATGATGATGATGATGATGATGATGATGGTGGTGGTGGTGGTGGTGGTGGTGATAGTGTTGGTGGTGATGACAGTGGTTGTGATGGTGGTGATGTTGCTGCTGATGACGACGATGACGGAGACGATGGCACCGACGCCGACATCGACGATGGCGGTGATGCTTATGATGACCAACGATATCCTTCTACAGGGGGCGTACACTGGTATGAAGAAGTTGGTGGTGTCGACGAGCGATGAGCATGTCGATTGCGATGCTGACGCTGGACCTCTCATGCTGGTGATGGTGCTGCATGATGCTGCTGTGCGCGGCGGTGGCGATGATAGCGAGGCGGTGCAGCGGGCGTTGTGAGCGGTGCTCGAGGCATGCTGGTCCGTGCGGCGCGAGCGCGTGAGCGTGATGTCGGCCTCTGCGAGCAGCGCGCGGCTGGGAACACCTCGAGCCACACCGCGGGCCACCGCGTTCCCCACTGGGTGCGGCCAGATCGCCTGCATCGCTTCCAAGGCCGTGGCCAGCACTGTGGAATTGGGGGTCGTGGGGCCTCTGCACCGTGCCCCACATGAGGATGGCTATGACGGCGACCAGGACGGCGCCGACGACGACGACGGTGGTGGTGGCGGCGATGGTGACGGTGGTGACGAGTTGTGGTGGTGGTGGTAATGACGGCGGGGTTGAGGGTGTTGATGCTGGTGTTGATGCTGGTGGTGATGACGACGGCGATGATAATGATGGTGATGGTGATAGTTATATTGATGGTGATGGTAATGGTGATGGCGATGCTGTTGATGATGACGATGACGATGACGATGATGATGCTGACGATGATGACGATGCTGCTGCTGATGATGATGATGACGATGAGGATGAGGATGAGGTTGATGGATGAGGATGAGGATGAGGATGATGAAGATGATGATGAAGAAGATGAATTCGATGACGATGCATATGATGACGTTGCTGATGCTGCTGATGATGATGATGATGATGATGATGATGTTGATGCTGATGATGCTGATGCTGCTGCTGCTGATGATGATGATGCTGATGATGGTGGGAGGGGAGAGCCAGAGGCAACCTTAGGTGGCGATAGGCTTGGGCGGGGGTGCGTCGACCCCCAATCACCCATTGTTGCCGATAGGGGTCCGACAGCTCACTCCGCCCAGGAACGTGCTGTGTCGCTATCGGGAGCCTATCGCCGATCTGTCGGCGTCGTATCGCCAATTCCAGGTCGATGTTTCCCTCCCTGAGCTGGTTTCCCTTAACGTTCGTCCTCAGAGAAGCAGGGGAAGGGAATGGGGGGGGAGAAGGAGTGGTAGGAGGGGAAGGAGAGAGATCTTTGGCTTTTTTAATCGTTCTCCTTCTTTTAATCGTTCTCCTTCTTCTAATCGTTCTCCTTCTTTTAGTCGTTCTCGTTGGAAAACTATTCTTTTTGAATCGTTCTCCTTCTTTTCATCGTTCTCTCCCATTTTTTACTAATCGTCACCCCGCATTAGGGGGAGAAGGAGTGGTAGGAGTGGCAGGAGGGGAAGGGGGGCCGCTCATCCTGAGCTTAGCTGCCCTGATGCGCTTGTGTTGAAGCGCAACACGCACCGCGTGCCTAACGTCCGTGTGCATACGCTGCGTGGCCTACGTTTTGGCGAGCCCATCGCGTCAGACCTACGCTTTCAGCCCACGTGTTCAGAGGCCAGCAACAGATGTACACGTACGCGGTCAGCTTCCCCTGGAGGGCGTTTGAACGAGGACGTTCGTGCACTCGAGATCGCGGAGGGCGTACATGTACATATGTCGTTGCTCGCTAACGTGTTGAGCTCCGTGGTGCGTGTTGCGTGTCGGGGCAGCTCAGATCCCGAGTCGTCTCTTGACGGCCCCGGTCCCCGGCGAGGGCCCCCCCACCAGGGGCCGAGAACTGCGAGGCGAGCCTCCGGCCGCGCCGCTGTCCACGACGCGAGGGGTTTCTGTGGAGGGCTGTTCGGAGGCAGCTCCTGGGAGGGCACCCAGCATCGGCGCAAGCCTAACCCAACAAATTGCCGCTTCCTCCTCCTCGTCCTTCTCGTCCTTCTCGTCCTTCTCGCCCTCCTCCTCCTCCTCCTCCTTCTCCTCACCCTCCTCCTCGTCCTCCTCCTCAGGCCTAAGCCATCCAAATGCCGCTCAATCCAGCTTTGTCCAGTTCGGTCCGGCCCCCGGGCTAATCTGGCTCGATGGCCCCGCAATCTGGCCGAATAGTCCCTAGCCGTTCTTGCGAAGACCTCCCAGAAGTGAAGACGACGTGCACGTCGGAGGTGCCAGAGGCGCTGACACGACCGGTGTTTCAACCGGGCGCTTTGAAACAGTCTGAATGGTAGCCTTGGTTATTTAAGGACGGCGGATCAAGGACAAGAGGGAGGGAGCAGAGGGAGGCGAGACGAAACGACGAGGCGAGGAGGGGGGAAGAATGGGACGAAACAAGGGAGCAGAGGGATCTTCGCGCGGAGGGGGGGAAGCAGAGGGCTCTTCGCGCGGAGGGGAGCAGAAGCGGGGGATCATGGAGAGGAGAAACTAGCAGAGAGGGAGAGGCGAGACGAAACGACGAGGCGAGGAGGCGAGGAGAAGATGCCGAGACGAGACGTCGCAAGGCCGAGGCCGGCAGCACCGCCGAGGAGGCGGACCTCCCAGGGGCCGCCTCCTCACAGGCGGGGGGGGCGCGAGAGGAGCGCGCCTTGGCCCCGTCTCCGAGGCTCTGCCGCCCCGCGCCGCGCCACAACGGGCAG